ACCTTCATTAGCATTTGAAGGCCTGGCTGAGCCTGGGAAAATCTTTTGTTGAGAGGTGTTAAGATGTACCTGGTTGTTTCCTCTCTTCAAAAGCAGAAAATGTGAATTGTCTGCTTTGATAAAACAGGTTATATGCCAGAAATACAGCTTAATGGTGTGACATTAGAAAATGTTGACCATTTCCGCTCCCTTGGCAGCCACCTCTCCACCAAAGTCAACATTGACACTGAAATACAACACCGCCTGAGCTCTGCAAGTGCAGCATTTTTCCAAATGAAGCAGAGAGTGTTTGAGGACCGGGACATCCGTAGGGATACCAAGGTGCTTGTTTATAAAGCTATTGTCCTCCCAACCCTGCTCTACGCCTGCGAGACGTGGACTGTCTACAGATGTCAACACTGAGACTGAAATACAACACTGCCTGAGCTCTGAGAGTGCAGCATTTTTCCGAATGAAGCAGAGAGTGTTTGAGGACCGGGACATCCAGATCCAAGGTGCTTGTTTATAAGCTATTGTCCTCCCAACCCTGCTATATGCGAGACGTGGACTGTCTACAGACGTCAATATTGAACAACACCGCCTGAGCTCTGCAAGTGCAGCATTTTTCCGAATGAAGCAGAGAGTGTTTGAGGACTGGGACATCCGTAGGGAGACCAAGGTGCTTGTTTATAAAGCTATTGTCCTCCCAACCCTGCTATACGCCTGCGAGACGTGGACTGTCTACAGATGTCAACATTGACACTGAAATACAACACTGCCTGAGCTCTGCGAGTGCAGCATTTTTCCGAATGAAGCAGAGAGTGTTTGAGTATCCTAAAGTTGGAAGGGATCCCAAGGGCCATCCAATCCAACCCCCTTCTGCCAGGCAGGAAGGCACAATTAAAGCCTTTCCTGCAGATGGCCATCCAGCCTCTATTTAAAGACATCCAGAGAAATGGATAGATAGATGATAGATAGATAGATAGATAGATAGATAGATAGATAGATAGATAGATAGATAGATAGAATAATAGTATCCTAAAGTTGGAAGGGATCCTAAGGGCCATCCAGTCCAACCCCATTCTGCCAGGCAGGAAGGCACAATCAAAGCCTTTCCTGCAGATGGCCATCCAGCCTCTATTTAAAGACATCCAGAGAAATGGATGGATAGATAGATAGATAGATAGATAGATAGATAGATAGATAGATAGATAGATAGATAGATAGATGATAGATAGAATAATAGTATCCTAAAGTTGGAAGGGATCCTAAGGGCCATCCAGTCCAACCCCATTCTGCCAGGCAGGAAGGCACAATCAAAGCCTTCCCTACAGATAGCCATCCAGCCTCTATTTAAAGACATCCAGAGAAATGGATGGATAGATAGATAGATAGATAGATAGATAGATAGATAGATAGAATAATAGTATCCTAAAGTTGGAAGGGATCCTAAGGGCCATCCAGTCCAACCCCATTCTGCCAGGCAGGAAGGCACAATCAAAGCCTTCCCTACAGATGGCCATCCAGCCTCTATTTAAAGACATCCAGAGAAATGGATGGATAGATAGATAGATAGATAGATAGATAGATAGATAGATAGATAGATAGAATAATAGTATCCTAAAGTTGGAAGGGATCCTAAGGGCCATCCAGTCCAACCCCATTCTGCCAGGCAGGAAGGCACAATCAAAGCCTTTCCTGCAGATGGCCATCCAGTCTCTATTTAAAGACATCCAGAGAAGTGGATGGATAGATAGATAGATAGATAGAATTATAGAATTATAGAATCCTGGATGGCTGTCAGTCAGGAAGGCTTTGACGGTGTCTTCCTGAATGACAGAACGGGGGTTGGACTAGATGGCCTTTGGGAGTCCCTTCCAACTCTCGGATTCCATGTTTGGTGCGCCAATGAGATTTCCGAGTCTTGTCGGGATGCTGCAAACCTTGACCCCGAGTGACGAGAAATCCTGCCCCGAGTCAGGACATCTGAGCTACGCACCACCGGCCTGTTTTGAATTCTCCAAGCTAAATATAAACCTTCCTCTCCGTCTCACCCCGACTCCTGGCCTTGCACGCACAGACAGGAGCAGCTTCCCCGGGTTGGGAGACAACACAGGGTTTGCCTACGGGTTGTGCCTGTGTCGCTCTGAACATGCCTCCGGTATCTCTTGCTCACTTGCAAAACGGTGCCTACACCATTCCAAATCAGGAGATTTTGCATAATGGTTCGAACTCTGCTCCACTGTGTTTACATTTGGGGAGAATGTCAAACAGGGCCTTCTCGGTGGCTGCCCCAAGACTCCCTTCCTTTAGAAGCCCAAGTGAAGCTCCTTGCTGTATCCAGATACGTCTGTTATTCGGATAGTGTGTGTAAACAAAGGGGATTTTAAAATGAGTCTCGTATTATTTTCTGTAACTATTTTCAACTACTTTCTAAATTTATTATTATTATTATTATTATTATTATTATTATTATTATTTTACTGACACAAAAACACAGTATGTCACAGCAAAGGAGATCTATATGCTGGGTTTCTTATCACAAAATCATAATATTATGTTATATTAATATATTATTATTATTATTATTCTGACACAAAAACACAATATGTCACAGCAAAGGAGATCTATATGCTGGATTTCTTATCAGAAAATCATAATATTATATTTATATATTAATATATTATTATTATTATTATTATTATTATTCTGACACAAAAACACACTATGTCACAGCAAATGAGATCTCTTTGCTCGATTTCGTGTCACAAAATGTCCAAGAAAAAATAAACAAATACAATTATTATTATTATTATTATTATTATTATTATTATTATTATATTTTACTGATACATAAACACAGTATGTCACAGCAAACAAGATCTATATGCGGTATTATTATTATTATTATTATTATTATTATTATTATTATTATTATTTCTCTCCATGGCTTGAGGCGGGTCTGTTTCGTATTGCTTTACTATGGCCGATTCATAGAATCCTAGACTTGGGAGGGACCACCTAAAGGTCATCCAGTCCAAACTGCATTCTTCCAGATTGGGAAACTCAATCCGATCCCTCCCAGCAGATAGTCAACCAGCCTGTCATAGAATTATATGGGTAAACCCAGGCCCGGGGGCCAGATGCGGCCCCTTGGGCTCTTTTCTCAGGCGCTCCTCTCTCTCACCATCCTATCCTTCCTTCCTTCTCTCGCTCCTTCCTCCTCTTTCTCTCCCTTCCCCTTTCTCCTTCCTCCTTCCTCCTCCTTCCTCCCTCTTTCTCTTCTCCTCCTTCCTTCCCTTCCACCTTTTTGTCCTTCTCTCTCTCCTTTTTCTCCTTCCTTCCTTCCTTTCTTCTTTTGTTCCTTCCTGCCTTCCCGTTTGTCTTTCCTTTCTTCTCTTTCCACCCTCCCTCCCCTCTTTCTCCCTCCCTCCATTAACTTCCACCCTTTCATCCTTATTCCTTCTCTCTTTACTTCCTCCTTCCCTTCCTTCTGTCCTTCCCTTTCACCCTTTTGTCCTTTCCTCCCTTTTGTCTTTGCTTCCTTCTCTTTTTCCTCCCTCTCTCCCTCTTTCTCCCTCCTTCCCTTTTGAGTTTCTTTCCTTCTTTCCTTTATCTTTCCCTTCCTTCCTTCCCTTTTCTCTTTTCTTCCTTCCCTCTTTCCTCCTTCCTTCCTTCCACCCTTCCCTTCCACTCTTCTTCGTTCCTTCCCTTTTGTGTTTCATTCCTTCCTTCTTTCCTTTATCCTTCCCTTCCTTCCTTCCTTCCATCCATCCTTCCTCCCCTTTTGTCTTTCATTCCCTCTTTCCTCCCTCCTTCCCTCTCTCCTCCTTTTTCCCTTCCTTCCTTCCTTCCTTCCTTCCTTCCTTCCTTCCTTCCTTCCTTCCTTCCTTCCTTCTACCCTTCCCTTCCACCCTTTCATCCCTCCTTCCTTCCTTTTTGTCTTTCCTTCCCTCTTTCCTCCCTCCTTCCCTCTCTCTCTCATTCTCTTTTCATCCTTCTCTTCCTCCCTTTCGTCCCTCCTTCCTTCTTCTTCCTTCCCTCTTTTCTCCTTCCTTCCTTCCCCTTTTTTCTCCTTCCCTTCTTCCTTCTCCTTCCTTCCTTCCACCCTTCCCTTCCACCCTTTCATCCCTCCTTCCTCCCTTTCGTCTTCCCTTCCCTCTTTCCTCTCTCCCTCTTTCTCCTTCCTTCCTTCCTTCCTTCCTTCCTTCCTTCCTTCCTTCCAGTCTTCCACTCTTTCATCCTTGCTTCCCTTTCGTCTTTCCTTCCTTCCCTCTTTCCTCCCTCCTTCTCTCTCTCCCTCTTTCTCCTTCCATCCTCCCCTTCCTCCCTTTCGTCCTCCCTTACTTCTCTCTTTTCTTCCTTCCTCTTTTCCTTCTTTCCTTCCTTCCTTCCATCCTCCTCATTCTCCTGGCAGAGAAATACAATCCAAACCCTCCCAACAGATAGTCATCCAGCCTGTCATGCGGTCCTGAGTTGGAAGAGATCCTTAAAGGCCATGTGGTCCAACTGCATTCTCCCAGGCAGAGAAACACAATCCGATCCCTCCCAACAGATGGTCATCCAGCTTGTCATGCAATCCTAGAGTTGGAAGAGACCCTTAAAGGCCATCCAGCCCAACTGCATTCTCCCAGGCAGAGAAACACAATCAAATCCTTCCCAACAGATGGTCATCCAGCCTGTTATGCAATCCTAGAGTTCGAAGAGACCCATAAGCGCCACCCAGTCAAACTTCATTCACCCAGGCAGAGAGACACAATCTGATCCCTCCCAACAGATGGTCAGTCAGCTTTACATAGAATCATAGAATTCTAGAGTTTGATGGCTTTCGATTCCAGCGGAGTCTCCTTCTCTGGAGGTTTTGAAGCAGAGGCTGGGTGGCCATCTGTCGGGAAGGCTTTGATTGTGTTTTCCTGCCTGGCAAAAGGGGGCTGGTTTGGATGGCCTTTAGGGGCTCCTTTCCGACACTCACTGACACAAGTTACGGCAACAATGGGAGGAAGTCCTTGGGTCTCGCTTACCTTTCTTCTCCCCCGTGAAGGGCACCAGGTCTTCCCTTTCTTTGGCCTCCAAAGCTTGCTTCTCCAGGTGTTGCATCAAGGCATCGCGGTCCAAGGGGCCCGTGGGGCTCTTCTTGGTCTGGTCTCGCTGGCGGAGTCCCGCTGGGAGCATGATATTCTAGGAAATGGGACAAAAAATGCTGCTGAGTGGTGAGTGGCCATCTGTTGGGAGGGCTTTGATTGTGTCTTCCTACTTAGCAGAAGGGGGTCGGACTGAATGGCCCTTGGGATCTCTTACAACTCTAGATTCTGTGATTCCGAGACAGGATGGCCATCTGTTGGGAGGGCTTTGATTGTGTCTTCCTACCTGGCAGAATGAGGTTGGATTTAATTACCTTTGAGGTCTCTTACAACTCTAGATTCTGTGATTTGGAGACTGGATGGCCATCTTTTGGGAGGGCTTTGATTGTGTCTTCCTACTTAGCAGAAGGGGGTCAGGCTGAATGGCCCTTGGGGTCTCTTACAACTCTAGATTCTGTGATTTGGAGACTGGATGGCCATCTGTTGGGAGGGCTTTGATTGTGTCTTCCTACTTAGCAGAAAGGGTCAGACTGAATGGCCATTGAGGTCCCTTACAACTCTAGATTCTGTGATTCGGAGACTGGATGGCCATCTGTTGGGAGGGCTTTGATTGTGTCTTCCTACTCAGCAGAAGGGAGTCGGACTGAATGGCCCTTGGGACCTCTTACAACTCTATATTCTGTGATTCAGAGACTGGATGGCCATCTGTTGGGAGGGCATTGATTGTGTCTTCCTACTTAGCAGAAAGGGTCAGACTGAATGGCCCTTGGGGTCTCTTACAACTCTAGATTCTGTGATTCGGAGACTGGATGGCCACCTGTTGGGAGGGCTTTGATTGTGTCTTCCTACTTAGCAGGAGGGGGTCGGACTGAATGGCCCTTGGGGTCTCTTACAACTCTAGATTCTGTGATTCAGAGGAACATGGACATATAGCCCGGAAAACTCACAGCAATCCAGTAAGGAGCTTTGTGTTTACTTCCTTCTTAACGTAAGGAACCTTATAAACATTTCCTTAGTTTAGTCAGGAAAACTCACAGCAATCCAATTCAACAGTCGCAAAAACAAAGTTTCTGGAGCAGGACAACTACTTTCAAAGTGAGTCCTATACAATTAAACAGGAAATAACAAAGCAACCCAGTAAGGAGGCTTGTGTGGACTTCCTTCTTAACGTAAGGAACCTTGTAAACCTTTCCTTAACTTAGCTTAGCCAGGAAAACTCACAGCAATCCAATTCATCAGTGTGTGACAGCCACAAAAACAAAGGACAACTACATGAGTCCCACACAATTAAACAGGAAATAACACAGCAACCCGGTAAGGAGCCTTGTATTAACTTCCTTCTTAACGTAAGCAACCTTATAAGCATTTCCTTAACTTAGCTTAGCCATGAAAACTCACAGCAATCCAGTTCAACAGAGTGTGTGGCAGCCACAAAAACAAAGGACAACTACATTCAATGTGAGTCCTGCACAATTAAACAGGAAATAACACAGCAACCCAGTAAGAAGCCTTGTGTTGACTTCCTTCTTAATGTAAGGAACCTTGTAAACATTTCCTTAGCTTAGCCAGGCAAACTCACAGCAATCCAATTCAACAGTCACAAAAACAAAATTTCTGGAGCAGGACAACTACTTTCAAAGTGAGTCCCTCACAATTAAACAGAAAATAAACAGCAACCCAGTAAGGAGCCTTCTTAACATAAGGAACCTTGTAAACATTTCCTTAGCTTAGCCAGGAAAACTCAAAACAATCCAATTCAACAGTGTGGCAGCCACAAAAGCAAAGTTTCTGGAGCACGACAACTACTTTCAATGCGAGTCCCACACAATTAAACAGAAAATAACACAGCAACCCAGTAAGGAGCCTTGTGTTGATTTCCTTCTTAACGTAAGGAACCTTGTAAACATTTCCTTAACTTAGTTTATCCAGGAAAACTCACAGCAATCCAATTCAACAGTCACAAAAACAAAGTTTCTGTAGCAGGACAACTACTTTCAATGCGAGTCCCACACAATTAAACAGAAAATAAAGAGCAACCCAGTAAGGAACCTTCCTTCTTAATGTAAGGAACCTTGTAAACATATCCTTAGCTTAGCCAGGAAAACTCAAAGCAATCCAATTCAACAGAGTGTGTGGCAGCCATAAAATCAAACTTTCTGGGGCAGGAGAACTACTTTCAAAGTGAGTCCCGCACAATTAAACAGGAAATAACACATTAACCCTTGTGTTGACTTCCTTCTTAATGTAAGGAACCTTGTAAACATTTCGTTAACTTAGCTTAGCCAGAAAAACTAACAGCAATCCAAGTCATCAGAGTGTGTGACAGCCACACAAAAAAAGGACAACTACATTCAATATGAGTTCCTACACAGCAACCCAGTAAGGAGCCTTGTGTTGACTTCTTTCTTAACGTAAGGAACCTTGTAAACATTTCGTTAACTTAGCTCAGCCAGGAAAACTCACAGCAATCCAATTCATCAGAGTGTGTGACAGCCACACAAACAAAGGACAACTACATTCAATATGAGTTCCACACAGCAACCTAGTAAGGAGCCTTGTGTGGACTTCCTTCTTAACGTAAGGAACCTTGTAAACATTTCGTTAACTTCGCTTAGCCAGGAAAACTCACAGCAATCCAATTCATCAGTGTGTGAAAGCCACAAAAACAAAGGACAACTACATTCAATATGAGTCCTACACAGCAACCCAGTAAGGAGCCTTGTGTTGACTTCTTTCTTAACGTAAGGAACCTTGTAAACATTTCGTTAACTTAGCTCAGCCAGGAAAACTCACAGCAATCCAATTCATCAGAGTGTGTGACAGCCACAAAAACAAAGGACAACTACATTCAATATGAGTCCTACACAGCAACCCAGTAAGGAGCCTTGTGTTGACTTCCTTCTTAACGTAAGGAACCTTGTAAACATTTCGTTAACTTAGCTCAGCCAGGAAAACTCACAGCAATCCAATTCATCAGAGTGTGTGACAGCCACACAAACAAAGGACAACTACATTCAATATGAGTCCTACACAGCAACCCAGTAAGGAGCCTTGTGTTGACTTCCTTCTTAACGTAAGGAACCTTGTAAACATTTCGTTAACTTAGCTCAGCCAGAAAAACTAACAGCAATCCAATTCATCAGAGTGTGTGACAGCCACAAAAACAAAGGACAACTACATTCAATATGAGTCCTACACAGCAACCCAGTAAGGAGCCTTGTGTTGACTTCTTTCTTAACGTAAGGAACCTTGTAAACATTTCGTTAACTTAGCTCAGCCAGGAAAACTCACAGCAATCCAATTCATCAGAGTGTGTGACAGCCACACAAACAAAGGACAACTACATTCAATATGAGTTCCGCACAGCAACCCAGTAAGGAGCCTTGTGTTGACTTCCTTCTTAACGTAAGGAACCTTGTAAACCTTTCCTTAACTTAGCTTAGCCAGGAAAACTAACAGCAATCCAATTCATCAGAGTGTGTGACAGCCACACAAACAAAGGACAACTACATTCAATATGAGTTCCACACAGCAACCTAGTAAGGAGCCTTGTGTGGACTTCCTTCTTAACGTAAGGAACCTTGTAAACATTTCGTTAACTTCGCTTAGCCAGGAAAACTCACAGCAATCCAATTCATCAGTGTGTGAAAGCCACAAAAACAAAGGACAACTACATTCAATATGAGTCCTACACAGCAACCCAGTAAGGAGCCTTGTGTTGACTTCTTTCTTAACGTAAGGAACCTTGTAAACATTTCGTTAACTTAGCTCAGCCAGGAAAACTCACAGCAATCCAATTCATCAGAGTGTGTGACAGCCACAAAAACAAAGGACAACTACATTCAATATGAGTCCTACACAGCAACCCAGTAAGGAGCCTTGTGTTGACTTCCTTCTTAACGTAAGGAACCTTGTAAACATTTCGTTAACTTAGCTCAGCCAGGAAAACTCACAGCAATCCAATTCATCAGAGTGTGTGACAGCCACACAAACAAAGGACAACTACATTCAATATGAGTTCCATACAGCGACCTAGTAAGGAGCCTTGTGTGGACTTCCTTCTTAACGTAAGGAACCTTGTAAACATTTCGTTAACTTAGCTCAGCCAGGAAAACTCACAGCAATCCAATTCATCAGAGTGTGTGACAGCCACACAAACAAAGGACAACTACATTCAATATGAGTCCTACACAGCAACCCAGTAAGGAGCCTTGTGTTGACTTCCTTCTTAACGTAAGGAACCTTGTAAACATTTCCTTAACTTAGCTTAGCCAGGAAAACTAACAGCAATCCAATTCATCAGAGTGTGTGACAGCCACACAAAAAAAGGACAACTACATTCAATATGAGTTCCATATAGCAACCTAGTAAGGAGCCTTGTGTACTTCCTTCTTAACGTAAGGAACCTTGTAAACATTTCGTTAACTTCGCTTAGCCAGGAAAACTCACAGCAATGCAATTCATCAGTGTGTGAAAGCCACAAAAACAAAGGACAACTACATTCAGTATGAGTCCTACACAGCAACCCAGTAAGAAGCCTTGTGTTGACTTCCTTCTTAACGTAAGGAACCTTGTAAACATTTCCATAGCTTAGCCAGGAAAAAGGATTTCATTTCGATCCCATCGTCCTCCCTCCAACTGAATCCAGAACCTGATCCCTGGCATCTCACTTCCGGATCCATTTCTTGCAGCTCCAGATCGAGCTGGGCCAACTCCTCTGGCGAGAGCTCCTTCAGGATCTTGTCTTCATCGATGTCTCGATACTTCTCCAGCTCTTTCTGGTAAGAGGTCGACATGGCTGGCGGAGGGGAGGGCGGCGGCGCCCCTGCGGTGTAGACCAAGAGGACCGAGGCTGGGCTGGAAGGGAGAAACAGAACAATAACAGTCCACGGGAAAGGGATCTGGAAGTCTTGATAGGCCACAAGCTCAATGCTACGGAATCCTAGGATTTGTAGTTTTGCAAGACTACAAGATTTGTAGTTTTGCAACCTTGTATCACCTTGAGCATTGCATCTGCACTGTAGAATGAATGCAGGTTGCCTCGTTTTTCATTGCTATGGCTCAATGCTATGAAATCCTGGGATTTGTAGTTTTGCAAGGCGAAATAATAGATACATAATAAATAAATAAATAAAATAATAAATAAATAATAGTTAATAATAAATAAATAAAATTGATAATAATAAATAATAATAATAAATAATTAAATTGCATCACAGCTGTGGCTCAATGCTATGAAATCCTGGGATTTGTAGTTTTGCAAAGTGAAAGACCTTGTATTGGTTTGAGCATTGCATCTGCATTGCTTCACTGCTGTGGCTCAATGCTATGTAATCCTGGAATTTATAGTATCACAAAGCAAAAGACCTTGTATTGGCTCAATGCTATGAAATCCTGGGATTTGTAGGTTTGCAAGGCACAAGACCATGCATTGGTTTGAGCATTGCATCTGCATTGTAGAATGAGTGCAGACTACCACTTGTTTCACTGCTATGGCTCAATGCTATGAAATTCTGGGATGTATAGTTTCACAAGGCAAAAGACCTTGTATTGGATCAATGCTATGATATCCTGGGATTTGTAGTTTTGCAAGGCGATAGACCATGCATTGGCTTGAGCATTGCATCTGCACAGCTTCACTGCTATGGCTCATTGCTATGAAATCCTGGGATTTATAGTTTTGTGAGGCAAAAGACCATGAATTGGTTTGAGCATTGCATCTGCACGGCTTCACTACTGTGGCTCAATGCTATGAAATCCTGGGATTTGTAGTTTTACAAGGTGAAAGACCATTCTACATCTGCATTGTAGAATGAGTGCAGACTGCCACTTGTTTCACTGCCATGGCTCAATGCTACGAAATCCTGGGATTTGTAGTTTTACAAGGCAAAAGACTTTGTATTGGTTTGAGCATTGCATCTGCACTGTAGAATGAATGCAGACTGCCACTTGTTTCACTGCTACTGCTCAATGCTACGAAATCCTGGGATTTATAGTTTCACAAGGCAAAAGACCTTGTATTGGCTCAATGCTATGATATCCTGGGATTTGTAGTTTTGCAAGGCACAAGACCATGCATTGCTCTGAGCATTGCATCTCCACTGCAGAATGAACCCAAGCACAGCTCCCAAGATTTCGTAGTTTTGAGCCATAGGAGTTTAAAGTGGTGTCAAACCGCATTAATTTTACAGTGTAGATGCACCCGTAAGACTTTGGAAAGCTGGATTTGAATCCTTGCTCGGCCACAAAAGCTCGCTGGGTGATCCTGGGTGAGTCACATACTCTCAGCCTCATTGAACCCAATAGTCACCTTCAGCTGGGAACTCACACCAAAAGGAGTGCGTGTCTCTAAATAATAATAATAATAATAATAATAATAATAATAATAATAATAATAATAATAATGTATAAATAAATAAGTAAACAAATAATAAACAATAAATAAATAATAAATACATAGTTAATAATAATAATTAATTAATAATAGTTTGAAAATAAATAAATAAACAATAAATAAATAATAAATAGATAGATGGATAATAAATAGTTAATAAAGTGCATGTTCCTAAATAATAATAATAATAATAATAATAATAATGTCTAAATAAATAAACAAAAAAATAATAAATAAATAGTTAATAATAAATAAATAAAAGCTTGAAAATAAATAAACAAACAATAAATGAATAATTAATAAATAGATAGATGGATAATAAATAGTTAATAATAAATAAATAATAAATAGATAATAAATATAAAATTAATAATAATAAATAAATAAAAGTTAATAATAAATAAATAATGATAATAATAAATAAATAATAGTTAATAATAAATAAATAAATAAATAATGGGTAATAATAAATAAATAAAAAATGGGTGATAATAATTAAATAAATCATAGTTAATAAATAAACAAATAAAAATTGATAATAATAAATAAATCATAATTAATAATAAATAAATAAATAAAATTGATAATAATAAATAATAGTTAATAATAAATAATTAAATATAAAATTAATAATAATAAATAAATAAAAGTTAATAATAAATAAATAATGATGATAATAAATAAATAATAGTTAATAATAAATAAATAAATAAATAATGGGTAATAATAAATAAATAAATAATGGGTGATAATAATTAAATAAATCATAGTTAATAAATAAACAAATAAAAATTGATAATAATAAATAAATCATAATTAATAATAAATAAATAAAATTGATAATAATAAATAATAGTTAATAATAAATAATTAAATAAAAATTGATAATAATAAATAAATAATTGTTAATAATAATTAAATAAATAAACAATGACTCTAAAGGTCATTTCAGGGTCCTACTAATCTGCGGATGGCGGAGACGAATGGATCGCTTTGCCAATCGATCATCGCAATAGGCCAACGATCGGACTCCCGACCGGCCCGAGCGCTCTCTTCGGACGTGAATGGACACCGCTCTTAATTTTTTTCCATGCTGCCGACGGAAAGGGCAGCGGTCGCGTCAGGAAAAGGGGAGGGAAGTGGGGTGTTGAATGAGGAACCCGACACAGCTGATCCTATAATTGTTGGGATTGCATTCTCTAGGCCTCGTTCCATGGGTCAAAAACAAACCGTCGAGTACAAGAGGGCAAAATCGGAAAGGTAGTTCCAAATCCGAGCTTCCCCGCATGGAGAAATCTAGCTCATCAAGGGAAAAGTGGGTTAGAGTAAGTTTATGGGGTGGGTTAGAGTAAGTTTATGGGCAAACTTTGGCCCTCTGGGTGTTTTGGACTCCAACTCCCACAATTCCTAACAGCCGGTAGGCTGTTAGGAATTGTGGGAGTTGGAGTCCAAAACACCCAGAGGGCCAAAGTTTGCCCATGCCTGCTTTAGACTAGGATTTGATAAAGATCTGGGTTCAAATCCTCACCCAGTTGTATGTAATCCAAAACTCCCCGCAGACAGAAATCTAGCTCATAAGGGGCAAAAGTGTACATAAGATGCAGGTTTCGCTCCTCCTTTATCAGTCTTTTCCCTTGTTTTTGCTTTTGGACTTCGAAAGGAGGGCTGTGCGGGGAGAGATAAGGGCAGGCAGCGCCTCTGAGGAGGGCTGGAAGGAAAACAACACTTTTTTGTGCATTTCCCAACCATCAAGAGGTTAGAAACTCAAGCATTGTGGCCAATGTTTGCCTGGCTTGGAAGGAAAGAAGGAAGGAAAAGGAATGGAGAGAGAGGAAGAAAGAGAGGGGGAGGAGGGAAAGGGAAGGAGAGAGGAGGAAGAAAGGGAGGAAAAGGAGGGAGGAATATGAAGAAGGGAGGAGGGAGGATAGGAAGGAAAAGGAGGAGAGAAGGAAAGAAGAGGAAAAGAGAGAAAGAAGGGTAGAGAAGGAAGAAAGGAGAGAAGGAGGAAAGAAGAGAGAGGGAGGAAGAAAAAGAAGAGAAAGGAGAGAGGAAGGGATGATTAGGAAGAAGGGAGGGAGAAAGGAAGGAGGAAAGGGGGAGGGAAGACAGAAAGGAAAAGGAAGGAGAGAAAGAAGGAAGGTACTAAGGAAGGGGGGAAAAGAAGTAGAGAAGGAAGGAAGGAGGAAATGGAAGAGGGAAGGAGGGAAGACAGGAAGGAAAGGAGGGAGGGAGGAAAAGGAAGGAGGAGTAGGAAGGAAAAGGAGAGAGGAAGGGATGAATAGGAAGAAGAGGAGGAGGAAAAGGAAGTGAGAGGAAAGGAAGGAGGAAGAGAAAGAAAGGAAAAGAAGGAGGAAAAGGGAGGGAGGGAGGGAGGAAAAAAAGGAAGAAGAGAAGAAGAAAAGGCGGAGGAAGGAAGAAAGGAAGAAAGGAGGAAGGAGGGGAGAAAGGAAGGAGAAAAAGAAGAAGGGAAGGAGAGGAAGACAGGAAGAAAAGGAAGGAGAGAAGGAAGAACTAAGGAAGGGCAAAAAGGAAGTAGAGAGGAAGGAGGAGAGAAAGAAGGAAGGAAGGAGGGAAGACAGGAAAAAGAAAGGAGGAAGGAGGGAGGAGGGAGGAAAAGGAAAGAGAGAAGGAAGGAAGGGAGGGAGGAGAAGGAAGGGAGGAAGGAAGAGGAAGAAGGAAGAAAGGAAGGTAAAGGAAGGAAGAAAAAAGGAGGGTGGGAGGAAGGAATGGAGGGAGGGAGGAAAAAGAAGGAGGAAGGAAGAGAAGGAAGGAAAAGGACGGAGGAAGGAATGAATAAGAAGGAAGGAGGAGGAAGGAAGAAAGGAAAAAGAAGGAGAGCAGGAAGGAAGAGAGAAAAAGTAGAAGGGAGAGAGGAAGGACAGAACAACCTCACAACCTCTGAGGATGCCTGCCGTAGATGTGGGCGAAACGTCAGGAGAGAATGCTTCTGGAACATGGTCATACACCCCAGAAAACTCACAGCAACCCAGTGATTCCGGCCATGAAAGCCTTCGGCAACACAAAACCAACTGGGTCTCTCCTTAAGTAGGGTTTGCCATTAGATTTCCTTGTATATCCTCAAGAGAAACCCAATCCGTCCAAGGGGATTGCAGGAATGGCTCTCTGGCAGGGAGACCTTTTCCCTCGTGGTTTGCAAATTGCAGAGAGCTTTCCTTTCCATTGAGCTGGAACGGTACAGTCCCGGCTCCCTTTGGACGATGCATCCGCCTTGCATAATGTAATCAATACTTCGGGGCGGCTACCATCTCTCCATCCGTCCTAATCTATCTGCTCAGTCATAGCCAATTTTGACATGGAACATGTTGGAAAACAAACCATGGAAACAACAACAGAAAGACCACAATATGGTTCAGATTTGTGGCTGACACCTTCGACATTTGGAGCCATGGAGAAGAAGAACTCAACAAGGTCCTGGAGCACCTCAACTGGAGAAGAAGAACTCATGGAAAACTCATGGAGCACCTCAACTGGAGAAGAAGAACTCAACAAGGTCCTGGAGCAGCTCAACTGGAGAAGAAGAACTCAACTGGAGAAGATCTCAACAAGTTCCTGGAGCACCTCAACTGGAGAAGAAGAACTCAACAAGGTCCTGGAGCAGCTCTACTAGAGAAGAACTCAGCAAGGTCATGGAGCAGCTCAACTGGAGAAGAACTCAACAAGGTGCTGGAGCAGCTCAACTGGAGAAGAGGAACTCAACAAGGTCCTGGAGCACCTCAACTGAAGAAGAGCTCAACAAGGTCCTGGAGCAGCTCTACTAGAGAAGAACTCAGCAAGGTCATGGAGCAGCTCAACTGGAGAAGAACTCAACAAGGTGCTGGAGCAGCTCAACTGGAGAAGAAGAACTCAACAAGGTCCTGGAGCAGCTCTACTAGAGAAGAAGAGCTCAACAAGGTCCTGAAGCACCTCAATTGGAGAAGAAGAACTCAACAAGGTCCGGGAGCAGCTCTACTGGAGAAGAACTCAGCAAGGTCCTGGAGCACCTCAATTGGAGAAGAAGAACTCAACAAGGCCCTGGAGCAGCTCTACTAGAGAAGAACTCAGCAAGGTCATGGAGCAACTCAACTGGAGAAGAACTCAACAAGATCCTGGAGCACCTCAACTGGAGAGTAAGAACTCAACAAGGTCCTGGAGCAACTCAACTGGAGAAGAACTCAGCAAGGTCATGGAGCAGCTCAACTGGAGAAGAACTCAACAAGGTGCTGGAGCACCTCAAGTGGAGAAGAACTCGAACAAGTTCCTGGAGCACCTCAATTGGAGAAGAAGAACTCAACAAGGTCCTGGAGCAGCTGAACTGGGGAAGAAGGACTCAACAAGGTCCTGGAGAACCTAACTGGAGGAGAAGAACTCAGCAAGGTCCTGGACCACCTCAACTGGAGAAGAAAAATTCAAAAAGGTCCTGGAGCAGCTCAATTGGAGAAGAAGAACTCAACAAGGTCCTAGAGTACCTCAACTAGAGAAGAAGAACTCAACAAGGTCCTGGAACACCTCAACTGGAGAAGAAGAACTCAACAAGGTTCTGGAGCACCTCAACTGGAGAAGAAGAACTCAACAAGATCCTGGAGCACCTCAACTGTTAGGTGACAACGAGGTGGGCTTCGCAGATTCTTCTGCCAGGGTTTTCATTGCGCTTCTTTCTTGATTTAGGTGATGGTTGGAGTTTTTGTGTAGGTATCTATCCGTGTGTGTAGGTTTTCTGTCAACCGTGTTGTCCAATTGTTTGGGTTTACGGATGACCAGAACATCTAGAAATGGCAGTTTCCCTTTGTTTTCATTATCTGTGGTGAGTTGGCTGTTTGGCTGGATTCTGTTGATGTGGTCCAGGTCCTTATTGAGTTCTTCTTCTTCAGTTGAGCTGCTCCAGGACCTTGTTGAGTTCTTCTCCCGTTGAGGTGCCCTAGGACCTTGTTGAGTTCTTCTTCTCCAGTTGAGCTGCTCAGGACCTTGTTGAGTTCTTCTTCTCCAGTCGAGGTGTGCCAGGATCTTACTGATTCTTCTCCAGTCGAGGTGCTCCAGGATCTTACTGAGTTCTTCTTCTCCAATTGAGCTGCTCCAGGACCTCGTTGAGTTCTTCTTCTCCAGTTGAGGTGCTCCAGGACCTTGTTGAGTTCTTCTTCTCCTGTTGAGATGTTCCAGGACCTTGTTGAGTTCTTCTTTTCCAGTTGAGCTGCTCCAGGACCGTGTTGAGTTCTTCTTCTCCAGTTGAGGTGCTCCAGGGCCTTGATAAATTCTTCTCCAGTTGAGGTGCTCCAGGACCTTGTGGAGTTTTTCTTCTCTAGTTGAAGTGCTCCAGGACCTTGTTGAGTGCTTGTTCTTCAGTTGAGCTGCTCCATGACCTTGCTGAGTTCTTCTTCTCCAATTGAGCTGCTCCAGGACCTCGTTGAGTTCTTCTTCTCCAGTTGAGGTGCTCCAGGACCTTGTTGAGTTCTTCTTCTCCTGTTGAGATGCTCCAGGACCTTGTTGAGTTCTTCTTTTCCAGTTGAGCTGCTCCAGGACCGTGTTGAGTTCTTCTTCTCCAGTTGAGGTGCTCCAGGGCCTTGATGAATTCTTCTCCAGTTGAGGTGCTCCAGGACCTTGTGGAGTTTTTCTTCTCTAGTTGAAGTGCTCCAGGACCTTGTTGAGTGCTTGTTCTTCAGTTGAGCTGCTCCATGACCTTGCTGAGTTCTTCTTCTCCAATTGAGCTGCTCCAGGACCTTGTTGAGTTTTTCTTCTCCCGTTGAGGTGCTCTAGGACCTTGTTGAGTTCTTCTTCTCCAGTTGAGGTGCTCCAGGAAGTTGTTGAGTTCTTCTTCTCCATGGTTCCAAAGGGTGAAGGTGTCATCCACATATCTGAACCATATTGTGGTCTTTTTGTTGTTGTTTGCATGGCTTGTTTTCCAAACCGTTCCATGTCAAAAATGGCTATGACCGAGCTGAGAGGGCTCCCCATTACCTTCTCCATCTTTCTGCTCATAGAATTCATTGTCCCAATAAAACCCCAGTGTCGCAGTGGGTCAAGCCCTTGTGCCGGTAGGACTGAAGGCCGACAGGTCAGAGATTCAAATCCGGGGAGAGAGTGGGTAAGCTCCCTCTGTCACCTCCAGCTCCCCAAGCAGGGACTTGAGAGAAGCCTTTATTGTCATCCTATTTATTTATTATTTATTATTACTACTATATTGGAGTGCCCGGTGAGACAATGGGTTAAACCCTTTTGCCGACAGGTCAGAGATTCAAATCCGGGGAGAGCGCAGGTGAGCTCTCTCTGTCAGCTCCAGCTTCTTGAGAGAAGCCCTTATTATTGTCTTATTTATTTATTATATATTATTACTACTATAATGGGGTGGCCGGTGGCGCAGTGGGTCAAACCCTTGTGCCAGTAGGACTGAAGGCCAACAAGTCAGAGGTTCGAATCCAGGGAAAGTGTGGATGAGCTCCCTCTGTCAGCTCCAGCTCCCCACGCGGGGACTTGAGAGAAGCCTTTATTATCGTGTTATCGTCTTATTTATTTATTATTTATTATTACAGGGCTGAAGGCCGACAGGTCAGAGGTTCAAATTCGGGGAGAGTGTGGGTGAGCTCCCTCTGTCAGCTCCAGCTCCCCATGCGGGGACTTGAGAGAAGCCTATATTATCGTATAATCGTCTTATTTATTATTTATTATTACAGGGCTGAAGGCTGACAGGTCAGAGATGCAAATCCGGGGAGAGCACAGGTGAGCTCCCTCTGTCAGCTCCAGCTCCCCGTGCGGTGACTTGAGAGAAGCCTTTATTATTGTCTTATTGATTTATTATTTATTATTACTACTATATCGGAGTGCCTGGTGACACAATGGCTTAAACCCTTGTGTCGACAGGTCGGAGAATCAAATCCAGGGAGAGCGCGGGTGAGCTCCCTCTGTCAGCTCCAGCTCCCCGTGCAGGGACTTGAGAGAAGCCTTTATTATCATCTTATTTATTTATTATTACTGCTATATTGGAGTTCCCGGTGACACAATGGGTTAAACTCTTGTGCTGGCAGGGCTGAAGACATTCTAATCCGGGGAGAGTGCAGGTGAGCTCCCTCTGTCAGCTCCAGCTCCCCATGTGGGGACTTGAGAGAAGCCTTTATTATCGTGTTATTGTCTTAATTATTTATTGTTTATTATTACACAGCTGAAGGCTGACAGGTCAGAGGTTCAAATCCGGAGAGAGCGTGGGTGAGCTCCCTCTGTCAGCTCCAGCTCCCCATGCGGGGACATGAGAGAAGCCTCCCGCAAGGATGGTCAAACATCAAAACATCCGGGCAAGCATAGTCAAACATCGAAACACCCGGGCAACGTCCCCTGGGCAACGTCCTTGCAGACGGCCCATTCTCTCACACCAGAAGCGACTTGCAGTTTTTCTCAAAAAAAACAAGCAAACCCCCAAACCTATCAAATTATGGGTATTTTTATATGGTTTTCCTCTGCCGGGACTCTTCCGAGACGGTTTGTCCTCTGAAAGGTGTCACAATTACACAGCATCTCCCATCCCAGGGACATAAACAACCCATTTCGGATGTTGCCGTCCTAGTTGATGCATGCCATGCAAGCCCATGGTTGGGCCGGTAAATGGAGGCAAGGGTCTGAAGGGTCTTACCGTTGCCGGTCTGTGTTCCTGGGCCTCTTCCCTCCAGTGTGTGGACCCAGAGGGCAGGGCAGGGCGAACGGCGGCACGGCCAGCAGCCGGCGAAGGGTGTGAGATCAGCATTTTATTATTTTAGCTTCCCAGCCGGGCAGGCAGACAGGCAGGCAGGGAGGGAGGGAGACCAGAGAGACAGAGACAGCCTCCCTTATCAATCACCCGGCAGAACGTCTGCCAGGGACTCCATCAAGCCTCCAGCGGCCACAGATGGACACTGCCAACCCAAACAGGACCAGGCTGGCATTGAGATGCTGCCCCAGAGAGGCTCACTAGATCTATATTACTGGGATGTATAGTTCACCTGCAATCAAAGAGCATTCTGAACTCCACCAGCGATGGGATTGAACCAAACTTAGCACATAGAACTCCCATAACCAGCAGAAAATACTGGAAAGGTTTGGTGGGCATTGACCTTGAGTTTGGGAGTTGTAGTTCACCTACAACCACAGAGCACTAAGGACACAAACAATTATGGATCAATTATGGATCTGGACCAAACTTGGCACAAATACTCAATATGCCCAAATGTGAACACTGGTAAAGTTTGGGGGAAATAGACCTTGATATTTGGGGGTTGCAGTTGCTGGGATTTATAGTTCGCCTACAATCAAAGAGCATTCTGAACTCCACCAGCGATGGGATTGAACCAAACTGCCATGACCACCAGAAAATACTGGAAGGCCTTGGTGGGCACTGACCTTGAGTTTGGGAGTTGTAGTTCACCTACATCCAGAGAGCACTGTGGACTCAAACAATGATAGATCTGGACCAAACTTGGTAAGGATATTCAATATGCCCAAATGTGAACACTGGTAAAGTATGGGGAATATAGACCTTGACATTTAGGGGTTGTAGTTGCTGGGAAGGGTTTGGTGGGCATTGACCTTGAATTTGGGAGTTGTAGTTCACCTACATCCAGAAAGCACTGTGGACTCAAACAAAGATGGATCTGGACCAAACTTGGAACAAATACTCAATATGCCCAAATGTGAACACTGGTAAAGTTTGACCACCAGAAAATACCGGAAGGCCTTGGTGGGCACTGACCTTGAGTTTTGGAGTTGTAGTTCACCTACATCCAGAGAGTGCTGTGGACTTAAACAATGATAGATCTGGAGCAAACTTGGCATAAATACTCAATATGCCGAAAAGTGAACACTGGTGGAGTTTGGGGAAAATAGACCTTGACATTTGGGAGTTGTAGTTGCTGGGATTCATAGTTCACCTGCAATTCTGAACTCCACCAAAGATGGAATTGAATCAATCTTGGCACACAGAGATCCCATGATCACCAATAAATACTGGAAGGGTTTGGTGGGCATTGACCTTGAGTTTGGGAACTGTAGTTCAACTACAATCAAAGAGCATTCTGAACTCCACCAGCGATGGGATTGAACCAAACTTAGCACATAGAACTCCCATAACCAGCAGAAAATACTGGAAAGGTTTGGTGGGCATTGACCTTGAGTTTGGGAGTTGTAGTTCACCTACATCCAGAGAGCACTGTGGACTCAAACAATGATGGATCTGGACCAAACTTGGTACTGATACTCAATATACCCAAATTGGTGGAGTTTGGGGAAAACAGACCTTGACATTTGGGAGTTGTAGTTGCTGGGATTTATAGTTCATCTGCAATCAAAGAGCATTCTGAACTCCTTGCTGGGATTCATATTTAACCTGCAATTTTGAACACCACCAAAGATGGAATTGAATCAATCTTGGCACACAGAGATCCCATAAGAAGCAGAAAATACTGGAAGGGTTTGGTGGGCACTGACCTTGAGTTTTGGAGTTGTAGTTCACCTACATCCAGAGAGCACTGAGGACACAAACAATGATGGATGTGGACCAAACTTGGTACAGATACTCAATATACCCAAATTGGTGGAGTTTGGGGAAAACAGACCTTGACATTTGGGAGTTGTAGTGGCTGGGATTTATAGTTCACCTGCAATCAAAGAGCATTCTGAACTCCACCAAAGATGGAATTGAATCAATCTTGGCACACAGAAATCCCATAACCAGCAGAAAATACTGGAAGGGTTTGGTGGGCATTGGCCTTGAATTTGGGAGTTGTAGTTCACCTATATCCAGAGAGCGCTGAGGTCTCAATGATAGATCTGGACCAAACTTGGCACAAATACTCAGTATGCCCAAATGTGAACACTGGTGGAGTTTGGGGAAAATAGACCTTGATTTTGGGAGTTGCAGTTGCTGGGATTTATAGTTCACCTGCAATCAAAGAGCATTCTGAACCCCACCAATGATACAATTTGGGCCAAACTTCCCACGCAGAACCCCTCAGTATGCCCAAATCTGAATACTGGTGGGGTTGGAGGAGATTGATGTTGTCATTTGGGAGCTGTAGTTGCTTGGATTTATAGTTCACCGACAATCAAAGAGCATTCTGAACCCCACCAAAGATGGAATTGAATCAATCTTGGCACACAGAGATCCCATGATCACCAGAAAACACTGGAAGGGTTTGGTGGACATTGACCTTGAATTAGAGAGTTGTAGTTGTAGTAATTAATTTGGGACAGGGATTATAATTGAGCTGCTGAACTTGCTGAGCGAAAGGTCGCAGGTTCAGATGCGGGGAGCGGGGCGAGCTTCCGCTGTCAGCCCCAGCTTCTGCCAACTTTATGTCAGGGGAAAACCTTTACCTTTACCTATATATCTCTCTCTCTCATTTTAAAGTTTGTCTGAGCATAGGCAGCCTTGCAATTGCTTAGCTTGAAGGAGGCACTCTGTTCATGCTCTGGAGCCCAAAAATAGGAACTCCCTGAATGGGTTACGAAAAAGCTTTGTTTTGGCCAGATCCTGGCATCATTCTCTCATCCAGTATGATGCTGCCCCCTGGTGGACGTTGTCCCAACTTGGACAAGTTACTTTTATGGGAGGGGAACGCGACATTATAGGATTATAGTCCAAAGTGTGCCAAGTATGGCCCAGATCCGTCGTCAGCTGAGTTCAGTGCTCTTTGGATGTAGGTGAACTACAACTCCCAAACTCAAGGTCAATGCCCACCAAACCCTTCCAGTATTTTTTGTTGGTCATGGGGATTCTGTGTGCCAAGTTTGGTTCGATTCCATCATTGGTGGAGTTCAGAATGCTCATTGATGGTAGGTGAACTATAAATCCCAGCAACTGCAAACCCCAAATGCAAAGGTCTATTTTCCCCAAACACCACCAGTTTTAACATTTGGGCATATTGAGTATCCGTGCCAAGTTTGGTCCAGATCCATCATTGTTTGAGTCCACAGCGCTCTCTGAATGGAGGTGAACCACAACTCCCAAACTCAAGGTCAATGCCCACCAAACCTTTCCAATATTTTCTGCTGGTCATGGGAGTTCTGTGTGTCATGTTTGGTTCGATTCCATCATTGGTGGAGTTCAGAATGCTCTTTGAATGTGGATGGACTATAAATCCCAGCAACTACAACTCCCAAATGACAAAATCCTCCAACCATAACATCATAATAATAATAATAATAATAATAATAATAATAATAATAATAATAGAATCCTAGGGTTGGAACATATCCCATGGGCCATCTAGTCCAACCCCATTCTGCCATGGAGGAAAAGCACAATCAAAGCCCTCCCAAGATATGGTCATCCAGCCATGAGCAGTGGTGGTAATAATAATAATAATAATAATAATAATAATAATAATAATAATAATAGAATACTAGGGTTGGAACAGACCCCATGGGCCATCCAATCCAGCCCCATTCTGCCATGGAGGAAAAGCACAATCAAAGCCCTCCCAACAGATGGTCACCCAGCCTAGATTAGCAATAATCATAATAATAAGAATAATGGAATCCTAGAGTTGGAACAGACCCCATGGGCCATCCAATCCATCTCCATTCTGTCATGGAGGAAAAGCACAATCAAAGCCCTCCCAACAGATGGTCATCCAGCCCTAGCTTAGCAGTGGTAATAATAATAATAATAATAATAATAATAATAATAATAATAATAATAGAATGCTAGGGTTGGAACAGACCCCATGGGCCATCCAATCCAGCCCCATTCTGCCATGGAGGAAAAGCACAATCAAAGCCCTCCCAACAGAGGGTCATACAGCCCTAGCTTAGCAGTGGTAGTAGTAGTAATAATAATAATAATAATAATAATAATAATAATAATAGAATGCTAGGGTTGGAACAGACCCCATGGGCCATCCAATCCATCTCCATTCTGCCATGGAGGAAAAGCACAATCAAAGCCCTCCCAACAGATGGTCATCCAGCCCTAGCTTAGCAGTGGTAATAATAATAATAATAATAATAATAATAATAATAATAATAATAATAGAATGCTAGGGTTGGAACAGACCCCATGGGCCATCCAATCCAGCCCCATTCTGCCATGGAGGAAAAGCACAATCAAAGCCCTCCCAACAGAGGGTCATACAGCCCTAGCTTAGCAGTGGTAGTAGTAGTAATAATAATAATAATAATAATAATAATAATAATAGAATGCTAGGGTTGGAACAGACCCCATGGGCCATCCAATCCATCTCCATTCTGCCATGGAGGAAAAGCACAATCAAAGCCCTCCCAACAGATGGTCATCCAGCCCTAGCTTAGAAGTGGTAATAATAATAATAATAATAATAATAATAATAATAATAATAATAATAGAATGCTAGGGTTGGAACAGACCCCATGGGCCATCCAATCCAGCCCCATTCTGCCATGGAGGAAAAGCACAATCAAAGCCCTCCCAACAGAGGGTCATACAGCCCTAGCTTAGCAGTGGTAGTAGTAGTAATAATAATAATAATAATAATAATAATAATAATAGAATGCTAGGGTTGGAACAGACCCCATGGGCCATCCAATCCATCTCCATTCTGCCATGGAGGAAAAGCACAATCAAAGCCCTCCCAACAGATGGTCATCCAGCCCTAGCTTAGCAGTGGTAATAATAATAATAATAATAATAATAATAATAATAATAATAGAATGCTAGGGTTGGAACAGACCCCATGGGCCATCCAATCCATCTCCATTCTGCCATGGAGGAAAAGCACAATCAAAGCCCTCCCAACAGATGGTCATCCAGCCCTAGCTTAGCAGTGGTAATAATAATAATAATAATAATAATAATAATAATAATAATAGAATAGAGTTGGAAGAGACCACATGGGCCATCTAGTCCAACCCTCTGCCATGCAGGAAAAACACAATCAAAACACCCCAACAGATGGTCATCCAGCCCTTACTTAGCAGTGGCAACAACAACAACAACAACAACAATAATAATAGAATCCTAGGGTTGGAACAGACCCTATGGGCACCCAGCCCAGCCCCATTCTGCCATGGAGGAAAAGCACAATCAAAGCCCTCCCAACAGATGGTCATACAGCCCTAGTTTAGCGGTGGTAATAATAATAATAATAATAATAATAATAATAATAAATGCTAGGATTGGAACAGAACCCATGGGCCATCCAGTCCAACCCCATTCTGCCATGGAGGAAAAGCACAATCAAAGCCCTCCCAACAGATGGTCATACAGCCCTTGATGAGCAGTGGTAATACTAATAATAATAATAGAGCTCATACTTAGCAATAATAATAATAATAATAATAATAATGCATTTTGAACGGGAAGGTAAAATATTTATTTATCAAATAGCACACAGGATTTGGAACACAACACTGCGCATCTGTCCAAACTCGGTCATCAAACAAAACAGGAAAATCCCTTTTCAGACTTTTGGCGGAATCTGGAAACTTGGCAGACATGAAGGACATGACGGATTCCATCCATCCATGCCTGGAATGAGATACCGGCCAACTTTTGCAGGTATCAACACAGCATAAAGAGGGGAAAGTCTGTAAGGAGGATCCTAAGTGGCGGGGACGCTCTGCTTGATGATGATTTTCTGCCTCGTGGCTCGGACGCCGGACTCCGCCGCGACCGACCCGCTGCCCATCGAAGCGGCGGCGGCGGCAGCAGCGTTGGGCAAGCCGTGGGCCGTGATGTACTTCTTGTAGGCCTCCCGGATGATCTTGAAAGCCCGGATATTGGAGTACGGGATGTCGGTGATGGGGTCGCGGTAGATGGCGGTCTTGTGGGTGACGGGGCAGATCTCCTTGACGGGCAGCTTGGGGGAGCGCGACTTGGGGAAGATGCGCTCAAAGGTCTCGTCGTCGCTGAAGGTGACGAAGGTGCGCGAACACTTGGCGGGCGGGTGTGGGGGGGCCTCCAGGGGGGCGCCGGGCTGGGATTCCTGGTCCAGGCTGAGAACAAGGCAAGGGATGGGAGGGGTCAATATAATTGATTATTTATTGGCGACATTTATTGAATTTCCACCCCCAAAACAACAGAGTCCACCAACAAACATCTTAAGAGTTGGAAGGTGCCCCCAAAGGATAGCCAGTCCAACAATCTAAACCCTCCTGACAGATGGCCATCCAGCCTCTGAATCATAAAATCCCAGAGTTGGAAGAGCAGGAAAAGCACAATCCAAACCCTCCTGGCAGATGGCCATTCTGTTAATAATAATATTAACGATACTTATTATTATTATTATTATTATTATTATTATTATTATTATTATTATTATATCAAATAATCCTAGAGTTGGAAGAGCTGAAAGCACAACCCAAACCCTCCTGGCAGACATCCATTCCGCGTATAATAATGAAAATGATGATATTATTATTAATAATAATAATAATAATAATAATGATAATATCAAAAAATCCTAGAGTTGGAAGAGCTGAAAAAGCACAACCCAAACCCTCCTGGCAGATGGCCATTCTGCTTATAATAATGATGATAATAATAATAATAACAATATCAAATAATCCTAGAGTTAGAAGAGCTGAAAAAGCACAACCCAAACCTTCCTGGCAGACATCCATTCCGCGTATAATAATGAAAATGATGATATTAATAATAATAATAATAATAATAATAATATCAAAAAATCCTAGAGTTGGAAGAGCTGAAAAAGCAGAATCCAAACGCTCCTGGCAGATGGCCATTCTGCTAATAATAATAATAATAATTATTATTATTATTATTATTATTATTATTATTATATCAAATAATCCTAGAGTTGGAAGAGCTGAAAAAGCACAATCCAAACCCTCCTGGCAGACATCCATTCCACGTATAATAATGATAATGATGATATTAATAATAATAATAATAATAATAATAATAATAATAATAATATCAAATAATCCTAGTGTTGGAGCAGCTGAAAAAGCACAATCCAAACCCTCTTGACAGTTGGCCATTCTGCTTATAATGATAATGATAATAATAATAATAATATCAAAAAATCCTAGAGTTGGAAGAGCAGGAAAAGCCCAATCCAAACCCTCCTGGCAGATGGCCACTCTGCTTATAATAATAATAACAATAATACTAAAAATATCAAATAGTCCTAGAGGTGGAAGAGCAGGAAAAGCACAATCCAAACCCTCCTAGCAAATGGCCATTCAGCCTCTGCTAACAACAACAACAAGAAGATAAAATCCTAGAGTTAGAAGATCAGGAAAAGCACAATCCAAACCCTCCTGGCAGATGACCATTCTGTCTTTACTTATAATAATGATGATGATGATGATGATGATGATGATGATGATGATACAATAATAAAATCATAGTTGGAAGAGCAGGAAAACACAATCCAAACCCTCCTGGCAGATGGCCATTTGGCCTCTGCTAATAATAATAATAATAATAATAATAATAATAATAATAATAACAACAACAACAACAACAACTTAAAATCCTAGAGTTGGAAGTGAAGTAAAAGCACAATCCAAACCCTCCTGGCAGATGGCCATTTGGCCTCTGCTAATAATAATAATAATAATAATAACAACAACAACAACAACAACAACAACTTAAAATCCTAGAGTTGGAAGTGAAGTAAAAGCACAATCCAAACCCTCCTGGCAGATGACCAATCCGTCTCTGCTTATAATAATAATAATGATGATGATGATGATGATGATGATGATAAATAATAATAATAATAATAATAATAATAATATAATAAAATCAGAGTTGGAAGAGCAGGAAAAGCACAATCCAAACCCTCCTGGCAGATGGCCATTCAGCCTCTGCTAACAACAACAACAACAACAATATAAAATCCTAGAGTTAGAAGCGCAAGAAAAGCACAATCCAAACCCTCCTGGCAGATGGCCATTCGGCCTCTGCTTGTAATGATGATGATGATGATAGAATAATAAAATCAGAGTTAGAAGAGCAGGAAAATCCCAACCCAAACCTTCTTGGCAGATGACCATTCAGTCTCTGCTTATAAGGATGATGATGATGATGATGATGATAATAATAGAATAATAAAATCAGAGTTGGAAGAGCAGGAAAAGCACAATCCAAACCCTCCTGGCAGATGACCAATCCGTCTCTGCTTATAATAATAATAATGATGATGATGATGATGATGATAAATAATAATAATAATAATAATAATAATAATAATAATAATAATAATAAAATCAGAGTTGGAAGAGCAGGAAAAGTACAATCCAAACCCTCCTGGCAGATGGCTATTCAGCATCTGCTAATAATAATAATAATAATAATAATAATAATAATAATGATAATACTAATAATAACAATATCATAAAATCCTAGAGTTGGAAGAGCAGGAAAAGCACAATCCAAACCCTCCTGGCAGAGGGCCATTCGGCCTCTGTTAATAATAATAATAATAATAATAATAATAATAATAATAATAACAACAACATCATAAAATCCTGATAATAATAATAAAATAATAATAATAATAATATCATAGTTGGAAGAGCAAGAAAAGTACAATCAAAGCCCTCCTGACAGATGGCCACCATGCCTCTGCTTAACAACAACAACAACAACAACAACAAAATAATAATAGAATCCTAGAGGTGGAAGAGACTCCAGTCCAAACCGCTTCTGCCAGGCAGGAAGACACAATTCAAAACCTCCTGGCAGATGGCCATCTAAACTTAGAGAACCATAGAGGTGAGTGGCCATCCAGTCCACCCCCCTTCTGCCAGGCAGGAACAAACAATCCAAGCACTCTTGACAGATGGCCACAGGGTTATTCCAGGTGAGGTCTGACCATAGCAGAAGAGAGTGGGTCTATGATGTCCCTTGATTGAAGCACTACGCAGCCTAGAATCGCATTGGCTATTATACCTGTTTTGTGGCACATTTACTTGCATAGGCGGGACTTACCCCTCCACGTCCACAGTCTCTTCCTTGCAGCCGAGGTCGGTGATGAGGGGCATGGTCCCCGAGTAGTAGCGGATGGTGGGCCCCACACACTTGCGCTTCTTCTGCACTTGCCTCTTCTTGTCGGCCTCCAAGCGCTCGTAGGTCTCTGCAAGAAAGAGAGAGACGAAAGGCAAATGCCAGTTGACATACAAACGTCTCTACCTACCAGTGAAAGGAGGGGAGGTCATGAGTTGGAGTAAGCTCCCGACCATTTGTCTAGCTTACTGTCGACCTTTGCATCCCAAAAGACAGTAGAAAATTTAGGTACAGCTTATGCAAGGAGGCTACTTTAATTTACGACGCCATAAAACTCTCCAGCAGCATGCAAAAGAATGAGGAAGTACTCCATCGGTGTCACAAGTGGATGGTGAAGCAACAGCTCCCCCGGTGGCCGGAATTCAAAAAGCATACCCTCTGTAGCGAAATTGCTACTCTATATTAAATTTTTGGTGTATAGCTCTATGTTTACACAGGGCAGATAGGGAAGAATAGGCACAGACAGGGTAGCAACAGCAGAGATAGGATTCATTTGCATATGGAAGCCGATTTGTCATATGCAGAGTAGCACAGGCCCAGGATTTGAAAAGGTTGCTAGGCCAAAATGACAGTTGGGAAGAGCAGAGTTAAACATTCCAAAGGGGCGGAGCCAAAGTTTAAAAATAGGCAGTTAGAGAGTCAAAAGAGGGAGTTAGGGATTCCTGTTTGTGAGAGACAGTTAGGAACTTATGTGAGAGAAAAGAGTTAGGAACTCTTCAGTTATGAAGATGTGTTAAAGACTTCTGATATATAGAAGCAGTTAGTTAAATAGAGCTCAAGTTTTAGGAACATAAAGAAAGCCAGTGGTGCTTTAGTCAGAAAATAATTTCAGTCAAGAGTGTGTAAAGCAAGTAACATGTTTGTGAATGTGAAACATTGAAAGCCTATTTCAGAAAAGTAAACCAAGTATATTGTACTGGCTGTAAGCCTCAAGATTGCAACAAAACACAAATGTAACCACAAGCGTTGGAGCCAGAAGTTATAAATAAACTGTGTTACTTGGTTATACAGAAGTGTGTCTCAGTGTCTGTACAAAGGTTAAACAGCACACAGAAAATCACAGCTAATATAAAAGAAGAAACTGAATCATTATAAGAGCAAAGAGGTTTCTCTTAAATAAAGAAATAGTCTCTCTCCCTCGCTACACCCTCATGAAGCTGGAAAGTTAAATAGCCTCTGAGTCAGTCTATATATGTTGCAGGTCTAAATGGCATTGAATGTTTGCCATGTATATGTGCATTGTGATCCGCCCTGAGTCCCCTGTGGGGTGAGAATGGTGGAATATAAATACTGTAAATAAATAAATAAATAAATAAATAAATAAATATTTCCCCCTGACATTAAGTCCAGTCGAGTCTGACTCTGGTGCTAATCTCCCTTTCTAAGCTGAAGAGCCGACGTTGTCCATAGACACCTCCTAAGTCATGCGGCCAGCATGACTGCATGGAGTTTCGTTACCTTCCTGCAGAAGCAGTACCTATTGATTTACTCCCATTTGCATGTTTTCGAACTGCTAGGTTGGCAGAAGCTGGGGCTAACAGCAGGAGCTCACCCCACTCCCTGGATTCGAACCGCCCACCTTTCGGTCAGCAGCTCAGCAGTTTAACCCTGAGGGGAGAGGGATGGTGAAGCCCCCCAAACTCACCCAGCGAGCGCAGGTTGAACTCCTCTGTGATCTTGGCCTCTTTCAGCAGCTCTTCCTGGGTCAGGGGTCGTTCGTAGCTGGGGGCTGCGCCTCCCTTCTTGCGCTTGGACTGCACTTGCCGCTCCTGGACCCGGAGGAAGGTCTGACGGGTGTGCTCCGTGGTGGACTGGCGCATGTGCTTCCGGCCTGTGTCATGGGACGAGACGGGATCGGGCAGAGACATGCACACGAGTGAGCTCCCCATGTCAGCTTTATTTACTTATTTGTATTTCTCCCTTTCCTTTCCTTTCTTCTTTCTTTCCTTCCCAAATCCCAAAATAGGAAAGCCACTTACTGTCGACGGCATCGTCTTGCTCCGCCGGAGTCGCTCTTTCCTCCCGAACTTTTTGGGAGCTGCTGGCAGGCACCTCCGGCTTCTTAGGCCTCAAGCTTTTGATGGGTTCCTAGCAAAGATTCAAAGATGGGAAACTAATAGGCATATTCCCTCAAGAGCAGGACGTGTGAAAAAGATCTTCGAGTCCCCATGGATAGCAAGTTAAACCTGAGCCAACAATGTGATACGGCGGCAAAAAAAGTCAATGAGATTTGGGCCTCTATAGTGTCTAGATCCCAGGGAAGTCATGCTCCCCATGCTCTATTCCGCCTTGGTTAGACCACACCTGGAATATTGTGTCCCATTCTGGGCACCACAATTGAAGAACGATATTGACAAGATGGAATGTGTCCAGAGGAGGGCGACTCAAATGATCAAGGGACTGGAGAACAAGCCCTATGAGGAGCGGCTCAAAGAGCTTGCCTACGCTTTGAAATCTCCTCTGGAATACTACTCTACTGGAAAGCCAACCAAATGACTGCAGAAACATGCAAGTAACCCACCCATATTTGGGTCGATCCACATCTGTCTCACCCTGTAGGCCTTGGTCACCACCCGGCGCTTCCTTTTAGGCTCGTCGTCGTCCTGGTCGCTGTTGGGCTCGTCCCCTTCGTCGATGTCGAAATCCGAATCCACTTCATCGTCGCTGTCGGACTGATCACCCTTGTATTCGTCGTCACCGGATTCCTGCAGGGAACCCAAGAGTATGGCTAAGCAGGGATGGAGTTGGATTTATGTGAGGTTTCCGGGCAGCATTCTCTCCTGACGTTTTGCCCACACCTACGGCAAGCATCCTCAGAGGTTGTGAGGTCTGTTGGAAACTAGGCAGTGAGGGATGGAGTTCCTCTCAAACCTTGCTGATCCCCCATTAGATTATTATTATTATTATTATTATTATTATTATTATTATTATTATTATTTATTATCCGCCTATCCTCATGGCTCGAGGGGGTTATGGCATAATTAAAACACATGAACTTCTAAAACTTCTAATATTTAATAATGTTGTAATATAATATATTATATTATATATATACTACAACTTATGATATGGGACAATATATTATATAATATTAATAGTATACTGGTATGTATTATACATATTGTGGTATCATCATATAGTACAATATAAAATATATAAATAAAAATGTAATGTTTGTTTGTTCTATTCATTATTGTATACTTTAAGTTATGTTTTTGATTGTGAGACGCTTTAAGTCTCCTTATGGAAAGATAAAGTAGGATATAAATAAATACATATATTAAAATGTATTTCTATTTATTATTGTATATTTTAAGTTGTAATCTTTTTTTACTGTGAGCCGCTTTAAGTCTCTGTATGGAAAGATAAAGCAGGACATAAATAAATAAATACATACATACATATATTAAAATGTATTTCTATTTATTATTGTATATTTTAAGTTGTAATGTTTTTGATTGTGAGATGCTTTAAGTCTCTGTATGGAAAGATAAAGTGGGATATAAATAAATACATACAGACAGACATATATTAAAATGTATTTTTATTTTTTATTATATATATTTTTTAAGTTGTAATGTTTTTGACTGTGAGCCGCTTTAAGTCTCCGTATGGAAAGATAAAGCAGGATATAAATAAATACATACAGACAGACATATATTAAAATGTATTTCTATTAATTATTGTATATTTTAAGTTGTAATGTTTTTGATTGTGAGACGCTTTAAGTCTCCGTATGGAAGGATAAGGCGCGATATATATATATATACATACATGTATATAAATTTATTTCTATTTATTATTGTATATTTTAAGTTGTAATTTTTTTTATTGTGAGCCGCTTTAAGTATGGAAGAATAAAGTGCAATATATATATATATATATATATATATATTGTATATATTAAGTTGCAATGTTTTTGATTGTGAGCTGCTTCAAATCTCCGTATGGAAGGATAAAGCACGATATAAATAAATACAGACATATATTAAAATGTATTTCTATTCATTATTGTATATTTTAAATTGTAATGTTTTTGATTGTGAGACGCTTTATGTCTCCGTATGGAAAGATAAAGCGCGATATATATATATATATATATATTATTGTATATTTTAAATTGTAATGTTTTTGACTATGAGACACTTTAAATCTCTGTATGGAAGGATAAAGCATGATATAAATAAATACATACACACATATATTAAAATGTATTTCTATTTATTATTGTATATTTTAAAGTTGTAATGTTTTTGACTGATAAAGCAGGATATAAATAAGATAAAGCGGGATATATATATCTATATCTATTTATTATTGTATATTTTAAGTTGTAATGTTTTTGATTGTGAGCCGCTTTAAGTCTTCGTATGGAAGAATAAAGCATATTATATATATATATATATATATATATATATATATATATATTCTATTTATTATTGTGTATTTTAAGTTGTAATATTTTTGACTGTGTGCCGCTTTAAGTCTCTGTATGGAAGGATAAAGCACGATATAAATAAATACAGACATATATTTAAATGTATTTCTATTTATTATTGTATATTTTAAGTTGTAATATTTTTGATTTTGAGCCGCTTTCAGTCTCCGTATGGAAGGATAAAGCGCAATATTTTATATTTTAAGTTGTATTGTTTTTGACTGTGAGCTGCTTAAAGTCTCCGTATGGAAGGATAAAGTGCGATATAAATAAATACATACATATATATATTAAAATGTATTTCTATTTATTATTGTATATTTTAAGTTGTCATGTTTTTGATTGTGAGACGCTTTGTCTTTCCATACGTCTCCGTATGGAAAGACAAAGCAGGATATAAATAAATAAATACATGTATTAAAATGTATTTAAATGCAAGAGACTCCACTTTGGCAGGAAAAACGAAATGCAAAGATACAGAATGGGGGACAATGCCTGGCTCGAGAGCAGGACGTGTGAAAAAGATCTTGGAGTCCTCGTGGACAACAAGTTAAACATGAGCCAACAATGTGATGTGGCGGCAAAAAAAGCCAATGGGATTTTGGCCTGCATCAAGAGGAGTGTAGTGTCTAGATCTAGGGAAGTCATGCTCCCCATGCTCTATTCTGCTTTGGTTAGACCACACCTGGAATATTGTGTCCAATTCTGGGCACCACAATTCAAGAGAGATATTGACAAGCTGGAATGTGTCCAGAGGAGGGCGACTCAAATGATCAGAGGTCTGGAGAACAAGCCCTATGAGGAGCGGCTTAAGGAGCTGGGCATGTTTAGCCTGAAGAAGAGAAGGCTGAGAGGAGATATGATAGCCATGTATAAATATGTGAGGGGAAGCCACAGGGAGGAGGGAGCAAGCTTGTTTTCTGCTTCCTTGGAGACTAGGACGCAGAACAATGGCTTCAAACTACAAGAGAGGAGATTCCATCTGAACATGAGGAAGAACTTCCTGACTGTAAGAGCCGTTCAGCAGTGGAACTCTCTGCCCCAGAGTGTGGTGGAGGCTCCTTCTTTGGAAGCTTTTAAACAGGGGCTGGATGGCCATCTGTCAGGGGTGATTTGAATGCAATATTCCTGCTTCTTGGCAGAATGGGGTTGGACTGGATGATGGCCCAGGAGGTCTCTTCCCACTATAGGATTCTATGATTTCTATTTATTATTGTATATTTTAGGTTGTTTTATTTTTTAAAAATGCATATTAAAATGTATTTCCATAAAATACATCTTAAAATAACACAGGACTGAGATTAAAATTCATGCTTAAAACTGGTTGGGTAGGCCAATTAAATAGATTTATTATTATTATTATTATTATTATTATTATTATTATTATTATTATTATCATAAGATGCACAATAGAAGCAAACAGGTGGATGAGATCAGCTGCAGGTTGCAGCCCCGCCCATTCTTTTTCTCTCAGCCAATCGCTGGGCTCGCTTAGAATGACGCCCCGCCCACTTTGGTTAGCCACGCCTCTGAAGTTTAATCAGATCTAACTCGGTGGCCCCGCCCTCAATATTGAATTCCAGCCAATCACCGTGCCGCTAAGGCCTCATTTTGCATAGCCACGCCCCTTTGGCGATCTCCCTCGACTCTTGCCTCAGTGAAGCCGCCATAAGTGGTCTGGTAAAACTCGTCCTCCTCTTCGGCTTCCAGGAGTCCCGAGAGCTTGTTTCCTGCCGTCCGCCGCGGCGCTCGGCCTCCCGCCAGGCCTGTCGGAGCGGAGGAGGAAGCCGACGCCATGTTGGCCGCCGCTGAGTAGCAAGCGGGGTTCGATGCGCTCGGAGCGCGGCTAAGCGCCCTGGGCCGAGGCTTGAGAAAGCGAGGGCAGGCCGGAGCAATCGATCGCCGAGTCCTAAGGGAAATCAAGACCTGTGCTCTAGGGATGGATGTAAACATATGTTTGCTGGTTGGTTTGTATCAGAAAGGCTCCTCCGTGGCTTGATGGATCTGGACAGAACTTGGCACACACACCCTTCATTATACATCTTAAAATACTGGGCATTTAACTAAATAATATATAGAAATAATAACATTGAAATTTGAATATTATATATATCTATATAAATACTCTTCTGTTTGCCCAAGAGGGAGTTTCTCATCCGGTCTCAGCCACTGACTGAGATGCTGGGTTTGAGCCTGCCACTTTTGGACTCTCGCTTGCTGAGGTGTGAGTATCTCTGTAGATCTTAGGAAGCTGTTTCTTGATTTAAGGTATTGGCATTCTGGCTGATATCCGAACACGGGATGGGCCACAGACGTCCATGCCTTATTCCTTTCATTGCTGGCTGCTACTTCCTATTTATTTATTTATGACATTTATGATCCCAGCTCTCGATCCCGCCTGCTTCTCAAGCTCGGCTGGCGGGGACGAGAGATAGGGCCTTCTCGGTGGTGGCTCCTCGGCTGTGGAACGCCCTTCCTACGGACATTAGACTAGCACCATCTCTAATGGTATTCCGCAAAAAGGTGAAGACCTGGATGTTTGTGCAGGCGTTTGAGTAATTTAGTGCAATCTGGTAATGGAACATAGGAATGGAACAATGGACGACGAACCTGGACTACGCTTGGATGATGAGAAGATTGGGTACGGTTGTTTTTTGTAATAATTGTGCATTGTAATGGCTTATTGGTAATTTATGGATAATGTGTTAAGTCAATTGTTATATGTTGTATGGAACCACTGCTGTTTCTACTGTTTTTACTGTTTGTGAACCGCCGTGAGTCGCCTTCGGGCTTGAGATACAGCGGTATATAAGCAAAGTAAATAATAAATAAATAAATAAATAAATTTATATGCTGCCTTTCTCACCCTGAAAAGGACTCAGAGTGGCTTACAAGATGTATGTATGTATATATATATATATATATATATACACACACACACACCATGCAGTCATGCCGACCACATGACCTTGGAGGTGTCTACGGACAACGCTGGCTCTTTGGCTTAGAAATGGAGATGAGCACCACACCCCAGAGTCAGACATGACTGGACTTAATGTCAGGGGACTACCTTTACCTTTTATACACACACACATACACACACACAATATTATTAGCATAGTACAATATCCGTACTATATATTACTATATTGTACTATACAATTATATTGTAATATTATTAGTAATATTACATCTATATAAATAAAAATGTAATGTTCGGTTGTGGGATTAACAGAACTCAAAAACCACTGGACAAATTGACACCAAATTTGGACACAAGACACCTCACAACCCAATGTATGTCCTTCACTCAAAAATTGATTTTGTCATTTGGGAGTTGTAATTGCTGGGATTTATAGTTCACCTACAATCAAAGAGGATTCTGAACCCCACCAATGATGGAATTAAACCTAACTTGGCACACAGAACTCCCAAGACCAAGAGGAAATACTAGAAGGGTCTGATGGACATTGACCTTGGATTTTTGATGTTGTAGTTCACCTACATCAAGAGAGCACTGTGGACTCAAACAATGATGGATCTGGACTAAACTTGGCATAAATACTCAATATCCGCAAATGTGAATACTGGTGGAGTTTGGGGAAAATAGACCTCAGGATTTGGGAGTTGTAGTTGCTGGGATTTATAGTTCACCCACAATGAAATAGCATTCTGAACCTCACCAATGATAGAATTGGACCAAAATTCTCCCACAGAACCCCCATGACCAACAGAAAATACTATGTTTTCAGATGGTCTTTGGCGACCCCTCTGACACCCTCTCGCGACCCCCACAGGGGTCCCGACCACCAGGTTGAGGAACACTGATTTAAGGCATTGGCATGCTGGCTGATATCCGAACACAGACGCCCATGCCTTGTTCCTTTCATTGCTGGCTGCTACTTCCTATTTATTTATTTATGACATTTATATGCCGCCTTTCTCACCCCGAAAAGGACTCAGAGTGGCATACAAGATGTATGTATATATATATACACACACACACACACAATATATTATTAGCATAGTACAATATCAGTATTATATATTACTATATTGTACTATACAATTATATTGTAATATTATTAGTAATATTACATCTATTTAAATAAAAATGTAATGTTCGTTTGTGGGATTAACAGAACTCAAAAACCACTGGAAGAATTGACACCAAATTTGGACACCGAACAACCCAGTCTATGTCCTTCACTCAAAAAAAATTGTAGTTGTAGTTGCTGGGATTTATAGTTCACCTACAATCAAAGAGCATTCTGAACCTCACCAATGATGGAATTGAGCCAAACTTGGCACACAGAACTCCCATGACCAACAGAAAATACTGGAAAGGTTGGCTGGGCATTGATGTTGAGTTTGGGAGTTGTAGTTCGCCTACATCCAGAGAGCACTGTGGACTCAAACAATGATGGATCTGGACCAAACTTGGCACAAATATTCCATATGCCCAAATATGAACACAGATGGAGTTTGGGGCAAATAGACCTTGACATTTGGGAGTTGTAGTTACTGGGATTTATAGTTCACCTACAATCAAAGAGCATTCTGAACCCCACCAATGGTTGAATTGAACCAAACTTGGCTCACAGTTCTCCCATGACCAACAGAAAATACTGGAAAGGGTTTGGTGGGCATTGATGTTGAGTTTGGGAGTTGTAGTTCGCCTACATCCAGAGAGCACTGTGGACTCAAACAATGATGGATCTGGACCAAACTTGGCAAGAATATTCCATATGCTCAACTAGGAACACAGATGGAGCTTGGGGGAAATAGACCTTGACATTTGGGAGTTGTAGTTACTGGGATTTATAGTTCACCTACAATCAAAGAGCATTCTGAACCCCACCAATGGTTGAATTGAACCAAACTTGGCTCACAGTTCTCCCATGATCAACAGAAAATACTGGAAGGGTTTGGTGGGCAGTGTCCTTTGGTTTTGGAGTTGTAGTTCACCTACATCCAGATTTAACTGTGGACTCAAACAATGATGGATCTGGACCAAACTCTACACGAATACTCAATATGCCCAAATGTGAACACCGGTGGAGTTTGGGGGAAATCGAATCTTGACATTCGGGAGTTGTAGTTGCTGGGATTTATAGTTCACCTACAGTCACAGAGCATTCTGAACCCCACCAATGATAGAATTGGGCCAAACCTCCCACACAGAACCCCCATGACCACCAGAGTGGACCACAGCAATGTGTTTCAAGGGACGGCTTGTGTGTGTGTATATATATATATATATAGAGATAGATAGATATAGATAGATAGATAGTGTGTGTTTCCATGTGTTTTCATGTACTGAATTCTAGGCTCTTCCTGTGTTTCAAAGACAGCGTCTGGCTAGCTGTCCCAAAAGAGAGAATGGGGAATGATGGAATCTCAAAAGGTTTGTTTATATGTTGGTTTTTGTCCTCTGCCTGGAACAGGAGCCAAAAATTATGCAAGGTTTTCAAACTTTTTATCAGCTGGATAATGGTTTTGACTGCAATCGAATGACCTGCCAGCCTCCGTTTTGGAGCCTGTTGCCACAGGCCTGATATGGCTCTCCCGTGGCTATATATATGCGCCTTTACCTCCTGCCTTAATGACGCAACCTTTTCCCTTCCTGGAATGAAACAGGAACCGATACTTCTTGCCCAATGGGCCAGGATCCGGATGGATAAGTTCACAGAATTAGTGCAGAACGTGATGCCCTACAATGGCATCACTTCTGTGGAAAGAGATGGTTAGATAGAACAGAGATTCGAACCAGATCACAGAATCCTACAGTCAGGAAAGACGCCCGAGGCCATCCAGTCCAACCCCATTCTGCCATGTAGGAACACCATCCAAATCTGCCCGACAGATGGCCACCCAGCCTCCGAATCATCAAATATATATATATATATATATACACACACACACACACATATATGAGTGTGTATAGTATATTATATATTTATTTATTTATTTATCGTGTCATCAGCAACCATTGTATTACAATTCTAGCAGAGCAAAACAAACACAGAGATGAAAAAGGAAAAAAAAACACAGATTTTGCAAATTTCTCTGCCTTGGTCATATTATATATGGTATATATAAAACAAGTGCTTATAGTATTCACATAATATGTATATGTATATATATATGTATATGTATTATATGTATATGTGTATTATATATATATATTATAATTATATGAGAATTATAGCATATCTATATATCACATATAACATATATATATATATACACACACATGCATATCCATGTGTGTGTATATATATATATATATATATTATGTATATTTATTATATGTATATGCATATTAAATATATATTATATATATTATAATTAAATGAGAATTATAACATATCTATATCTATATTTTATTTAAAATCTATCTGTATAATACACACATAACATATATGTGTCTGTTATATACATATGGACATAGGATACAGGTTGCACTAACTCATAACAGTGATATGACATCACTAGATGACATCACAGGGAAAGCCAGGATGTGACACGCCCTCGTTGCTTGGATTGGCCACCTCCCGTTGCCACGGTAACGTCCCAACCTCTAGCTCCTCCCCGAATGTGGCGGAACATGTTCTTTTATGATGGCCTCGAAGCCACGCCCCCTCCCACGCGGTCTGCCATCGCTTCTCCCCAATTCCTTTTTGCGCATGCGCTGCGTGCTCTCTTCCCTCGCAGCCCGCGTTCCGTTATAAACAAGGCGGTGGCGCCATTTCAAACATTTTCCCCCCTCCGACGTAGGCAAAGTGGTCCATCCCGCAGCCGATTGGGCGAGTCCACCAACGGAAGCGGGGGGGTGATATAAAAGGAGGGAGGAGGAGGCGTGGCTACGCCCTCCCATTGTGGAGTTGGTACAGCCCGGCGCCGCGTCTGGGAGCGAAGCGGGCGAAACCAAACGGAGGTAGAAGGGGGGGAAATTGATGAAAAGAGGCGGCGAGCAAAGAGAAGCGCAAAGATGGCGTCGGCCGGGCCGGAGTCGGGGGGCAGTAGCAGCAGTGGAGGCGCCACAGGTGAACCTTCTCCCCCTTCCTTCTGAGGGTCCTGTTTCTAGAAATGATTACCATTCAAAGAGGGGAGTGTTATTGTTTGTCTCATGTGAGGGAAGAGAGTGGAATGGAAGAGAGCCCCTCACTGAGGCCTACTCAAGCCAGGCCTGAGGCCTTCAGCGGCTCTGGGGTGGAAAAAGGAGCGCCGTTGGGGGGTTTCTTCGGGACTGAGGGGTCGAAGACATTCTTCCCTGCGGTACACCATCAAAGCCCTCCCGACAGATGGCCAGCCAGCCTCTGAATCATAAAATCCTAGAGTTGGAAGGGAATCCCAAAGGGAATCCAGTCCAACCCCATTTCTGCCAGACAGAAGGAAACCATCAAAGCCCTCCTGACAGATGGCCAGCCAGCCTCTGAATCATAGAATCCTAGAGTTGGAAGCTACCCCAAGGGCCTCCCATTCCCATCTGTCAGACAGGAAGACACCATCAAACCCCTCCTGACAGATGGCCATCCAGCCTCTGAATTAAAAGAGACCCTAAGGGCCACTCAGTCTAACAGCCTTCCTGAGAGATGGCCATCCAGCCTCTAGATCATGAAATCTTAGAGTTCGAAGGGAACCCCAAAGGCAATCCAGTCCAACCCCATTTCTGCCAGACAGGAGGACACCATCAAAGCCCTCCCGACAGATGGCCATCCAGACTCTGAATCATAAAATCCTAGAGGTGGAACCTACCCCAAGGGCCTCCCATTCCCATCTCTCAGACACCATCAAAGCCACCCTGACAGATGGCCATCCAGCCTCTGAATCATCAAATTAAAAGAGACCCTAAGGGCCACTCAGTCTAACAGCCTTCCTGAGAGATGGCCATCCAGCCTGATTCTAGATCATAAAATCCTAGAGTTGGAAGGGAATCCCAAAGGCAATCCAGTCCAACCCCATTTCTGCCAGACAGAAGGACACCATCAAAGCCCTCCTGACAGATGGCCATCCAGGCTCTGGATCATAGAATCCTAGAGTTGGAAGGGAACCCCAAAGGCAATTCAGTCCAACCTCCTTCTACCAAACAAGACACCATCAAAGCCCTCCCAACAGATGGCCATCCAGCCTCTGAATCATAGAATCCTTGAGTTGGAAGGGAACCCCAAAGGCAATCCAGTCCAACCCCATTAGAAGAGACCCCAAGAGCTATTCAGTCTTAGCCCTTTCTGTCAGACAGGAGGACATAATCAAAGCCCTCCCGACGGAAGACCATCCAGCCTCTGAATCATAGAATCATCAAATTAGAAGAGACCCCAAGGGCCATTCCGTCAAACCCCTTTCTGCCAGACAGAAGGACACCATCAAAGTCCTTCTGACAGATGGCCATCCAGACTCTGAATCATAGAATCCTAGAGCTGGAAGGGAACCCCAAAGGCCATCCAGTCCAATCCCATTCCAATCCAACTCCATTAAAAGAGACCCTAAGGGTCATTCCGTCTAAGCCCTTTCAGCCAGACAGGAGGACACCATCATAGCCTTCCTGACAGATGGCCATCCAGGCTCTGAATCATAGAATCCTAGAGTTGGAAGGGAACCCCTAAGGCCATCCAGTCCAACCTCCTTCTACCAGACAGAAGGACACCATCAAAGCCCTCCCGACAGATGGCCATCCAGCCTTTGAATCATAGAATTCTAGAGTTGGAAGAGGACCCTAAAGGCCATCCAGTCCAACTCCATTAGAATAGACCCCAAGGGCCATTAATTCTAACCCCTTTCTGCCAGACAGGAGGACATTGTCAAAGCCCTCCCGACAGATGGCCATCCAGCCTCTGAATCATAGAATCATCAAATTAGAAGAGACCCTAAGGGCCATTCGGTCTAACGCAGGCATGGGCAAACTACCGGCTGTTAGGAATTGTGGGAATTGACATCCAAAATACCTGGAGGTCCCAAGTTTGCCCATGTCTGGTCTAACCAATTTCTCCCAGACAGGAGGACACTTTCAAAACCCTCCTGACAGATGGCCAGTTAGCCTCTGAATCAAAGAATCCTAACCCCAAGGGACATCCAGCCCAGACAGGAAGACACCCTCAAAGCCCTCCCAACTGATGGCCAGTCAGCCTCTGAATCATGGAATCCTAGAATTAGAAAAGACCCCAAGGCCATGCAGCCCAAATCCCTTCTGCAATAAAGGCACAATCAAAGCACCTCTGGCAGGTGGCCATCTAGCCTCTGAATCATTGAATTCTAGAGTTGGAAGGGGCCCTAAGGGCCATTCATTCCAACCCCTTTCTGTTAGACAGGAGGGCATTATCAAAACCATCCTGACAGATGGCCAGTCACCCTCTGAATCATAGAATTGGAAGGTACTCCAAGGGCCATCCAATCCAACTCCCGCCTGCCACACAGGAGGACACAATCAAAGCCTTCCCAGCTGATGGACAGTCAGCCTCTAAATCATAGGTTTCTACAGGATGAGACCCTCCAGTTGGAATCCCTTCTGCTAGGCAGGGATGACATAATCAAAGCCTTCACGACAGATGGCCATCCAGCCTCTGCTTAAAAACCTCCAGAGAAGGAGATTCCTCCATTTGAAACGTTCTGGGTTTTATCTTTGGGATTCAGATTGAACATCCCATATCCAGAAACCTGAAAATCCAAAGTACTCCACAATGGTGTCCAAACTGGTGATACATTTGCTTTCTGATGATTCACTTTTGTATTTTTTCCACAAATATTTTTAAAATGTCGTAGGCTGTATCACATTCCCTCCAGGCTCGATGTATAAGGTGTATATGACAATCCGTTTTGTATATTGAAATACAGGCATTGGATTCCAAAATCTGAAATCCAAAATATGAAAGATGTTCATTCATAGATGTGGTTGAATTATTTCCAATAGTATAGAAATGTTGAAGTATAGCTTGGTGCAGCAGTCTCTATGTGGGAAATTAATCCAGAGCTGGGGAAAGACTTCGGCAAGATTATAATAATTACTTTTTTGTCATCATTATTAAAGTGCGTTCTTATTATCTGCTGGGGTTTTGTTTCAGGACACTCGTGTGTACATGGTCAATACTAAAATCCAAGACAACATCCTTCTAGTCCCATTATATAAAGTGGCATAATGGTGACCCTTATATTAAACTAGCTGTCCCCTGCCATGCGTTGCTGTGGCCCAGTCTGTGTATATGTGTTTTGTGTGTATATATATGTGTGTGTATATGTGTATATATGTGTGTTTGAGTTTATATATGTAATTTTGCACAGAAGTTGAATGTATTTTTTGTTTTTTGGCTTTTTAAGTCTCTTCTGCTGTGTGGTCACTCGTTGGCCTGATAGGTGTATTGTGCCCAAATTTGGTGTCAATTCGTCCAGTGGTGTTTTTTTTTATTATGTTAATCCCACAAACAAACATAACCATTTTATTTATATAGACTAACCGTCCCCTGCCACGCGTTGCTGTGGCCCACATGGGGGTTCTGTGTGGGAGGTTTGGCCCAGTTCTATCGTTGGTGAGGTTCAGAATGCTCTTTGATTGTAGGTGAACTATAAATCCCAGCAACTACAACTCCCAATTGTCAGGATTCTATTTTCCCCAAACTCCACCAGTATTCACATTTGGGCATATTGAGTCTTCGTATACAGTTTGGTTCAGATCCATCATTGTTTGAGTCCACAGTGATCTCTGGATGTAGGTGAACTACAACTCCAAAACCAAAGGACACTGCCTACCAAACCCTTCCAGTATTTTCTGTTGGTCATGGGAGAACTGTGTGCCAAGTTTGGTTCAATTCCACTGTTGGTAGAGTTCAGAATGCTCATTGATTGTAGGTCAAAACTATAAATCCCAGCAACTACAACTCCCAAATAACAAAATCATTTTTTTGAGTGAAGGACATACATTGTCTTGTGTCCAAATTTGGTGTCAATTCGTCCAGTGGCTTTTGAGTTCTGTTAATCCCACAAACGAACATTACATTTTTATTTATATAGATAGATACATATAATATTGATCCTAATATTATAATGTAATACAATACTAGTAATAAAATAGAATAATTGTTTATCATATATTACATGTATTATATTATTGTTTATCATATATTACGAGTCGCCTTAGGGCTGAGAGCGGCGGTCAATAAATGCAGTAAATAAATAAATAAATGCAGATATTAGTAATAATACTGCAGTATAGTGGTATATGCAATATAGTAATATAATAATAATAATAATAATAATAATGTGCTATTAATAATAATAATAATAATAATAATAATGTTACTATATTTCACTCTACAATAATGTGCTATGCTAATAATATAATATACTAGCCATCCTCTGCCATGCGTGGTTGTGGCCCAGTCTGTGTATATGTGTTTTGTGTGTGTGTATATGTGTGTGTGTGTATATATTTGTGTATATGTGTATATATATTTGTGTATATGTGTATATACATAGTTTTGCACATGTGTTGTATTTTTTTTGGGGGGGGGGGCTTTTAAAGTCTCTTCTGTTGTGTTTTTCAGTGTTTTTCAGTGTTTTTATGAGTGATGGTCACTAGTTGGCCTGATAGGTGTATTGTGCCCAAATTTGGTGTGAATTCATCCAGTGGTTTTTGAGTTTTGTTAATCCCACAAAAGAACATTACATTTTTATTTATATAGATGGTAAAATCAGGCTTTGCTTCTGATATTTTTGTTGTTTTGGAATATTTTCAAGTGCTTCAAAGTTTGATCCATTAATACACAGATAAATTTCTAATGCAGTTACTATATTTCACTCTACAATATTCTCAAAACTTTATAGCATACATTTTAAAACCAAGACAACATCCTTCCTTGGAGGGTTTTAAACAGAGGCTGGATGGCCATCTGTCGGGGATGCTTTAATTATGCTTTTCTTGCATGGGAGGGAGTTAGACTGGATGGCCCTTGGGGGTATCTATTCTGTGATTCTACCAAGTCTTCCTTGCCTAAGAATCCTGGCTGGGGAGTTCTGGGTTTTGTAGTCCTTCAAAGTTTCTTTTAACCAAAGGAGA